GAAAAAGGAAAAAAAAAAACAGTTTGAGTTTAATAAAACTTATAAAGTTATATTTATGATTGCATAAAGAATTTTAAATGTTTTTTTTTTATGTCTGTAAAACCAATACATTCAGAAAAAGAACTAACTTTATATTGTTGAAATGCATTCTGATACATTAAAATAATAATTTCAGATTATTTTTTCATCTAAATATTATAAAATGTAACATTTAAATACAAAAATACGTAATAAAACAACATAATACATTTTCTTGTGCAATTTTAGTGTTAATTATAGCTTTAATCTTTTTGGCTTTTACACCTTTTATTCACTTTTCTTTTCTTTTTGCTATTACTTAGCAGTGGCCTTAATTGTACAATCAGGTGTTATAAATATATGATCTTACTGATTATACTGTGTGACAACATTGCAAAGCACAGGTGGTGATCAAATGTTTCCAGGAAATAGTTTGTGCTCTGCAGCATCTGAAGCCATGAAGCGATTGGTCAATGCATCCTTTGTTTATATTTGTGCCTTGATTTCATTATATCAATAAATCCAATGGCTTTAATTATTGTGTGCACATTAATAGTCTTGTACATATTTTTATTATGAGCAGTATCATTGAGTATTTTCCTTTTAAATATAAAAACATTTAGAGGAAGGTTGCGTGTGTACTTGATGTTTGTCCCCTGCCATCTTTTCGGCTGATGTCGTTTTACTGATTTATGCAATAAAAAAAAAAATTCAACCAAAATCTGTGTTTTTGTTTAAGAAAAATAAATAAAAAATAAGAACAATTCCAGTTCTAGGCATTGTTCCAGGGATATAGAGAACCTGTGGCATAATTGTTGGAGGACAGTAGGAACTGGGCGGCAGCTTAACGCGGAGCTTAGTGCTGGCTCAGATAGGCACCGCTGTGCACCAGCTGCTGGATGGATGGATGGACCCAGTACACTTTGGCGCCTCTGCCAGGACTTTAGAATGAGGGTGGGAAAAATTGGGGCTGTTCCACCACCTATTGTGTGATGCAAAATAATGTAATCTTTTTTGTGTATGTGCAGGAATCAGCAGGGATGATTGGAGCAAATTTAAAAAGTTTCCATCTGGAGTTGCACACTGACACAATAAAAAGGATATGTTGATTATGTGCTAGCAAATAGAAAATACTGTGTGACGTTTTCCACTCTAATAATCTACTGTTCTGCATATTAGAACACATGCAGGGATTTCAATTATACTGTTGCTTTAGTAACAACAAAACAGCAATCAGTTCAGTTTTCCAATGCTAAAATGATTTATGTCAGTGAAAAGGGGACACAGATTTGCTACTCTGTAGAATTAAATCAACTTCATAACCAACCTTTGTAAAAAAAAAATAATAATAATAATAATAGTATAAAAGAAGAAATGTGAGTAAATGACTGATATTGTAATGATTTAATTTTTAGCTGGCTGTTTTTTGATCAAAAGATTCAGATTCACATTTTTTTCCCACTACAGGAAGCACAACGACATATCCTTACATCATACTGCTTTTATTAGTGTTCCAAACACAGCAGGCTTTTATGGCACTATAGATAATGGAAAATAAAAGCATCTCTGGGACTAGTTTAGGGCAAGCAATGCAGGCTAATGCTTCTCTGTTTACTCAGAGTGTTGTTGCTCTATGTTAGCAGCTTCCAGCCCCTTGGTTTGGATGTCACTCACTGGACTTGGGCCCAGCGCCTGCTCCTCAGGCGGTGTGAGCTCCTCAGCTTTTTCTGCTTTCACCTGGATTTCTCCATCCGCAACCGGCTCTTTCTGTTCCAGCAGGTTGGATGTAACAAGGCCTTCTTGGCTTTGTGGGATATCAGGACGCTCAGAAGATTTTTGGACACTCTCTAGGCTTTTATCTTCCTCAGGCAGCGAAGAATGGGACGGTCCAGCTGGCTTTTCTCTTGTTTCCTCTTCTCCCTGCTTGAGCCCAGTCATGGTGCTGTTGGGTTGGACCTGATCACCACAGGCCTCTAATTGAGACTCTTCCCCCTGATCCTCTTGTTTTGTTTTTGGTTCTCCAGCCCTCTCATTGTCCACCTAGATTAGCATAGAGTTTATTAAGTTGACAGTTTATTAAATGAATGCCTCATTTAGATATAAAATCTTGATTTGAAATAACTTCGGGATAAACTCTTATTATTTCAGATGTGTTCTATAGACTTCTGTTCATACACAAAGACAGAAGCAGGTAGAATTTTTGTTAAGATTCTAAGAATTGTGCCAATCACCCAACATTTTTTTTTTTTATTTGTAATCGATGCTTTAAATTGGGGGTTTCTACATTTTTAGACTACGTTAGCTAGCTAATATTTTTCTTCTTATTAAGTTTAACTCTAACAATATTTATATGTAATACTTTTGCTCTGACCCCTTGTCCTGCATTTTTATTACTTCTCTGCATATTTATCTGTGAACATATAACTTATAATGTATGTATTTATTAGCATCACCTTAATAATGTGCAAAAAGCCATTAAAAATAAATTGTTTATCACAGCTAAATCATATCATGAAATATAAGCATTTATCTGAAAGATTCAACATTTATTCAATGCTCCAAAGTAGACTTCTAGTATTACAGCTGGTGTTTTTCAAACTGTATAGTATTTTATAAACCTTATCATACAAAGATTTGCCAAATATGATTTTATAATTGAAGTTTTCTGTTTTATGCCTTTAGTTTTTTGGTCCAATCCGGCTAATTTGAGCCGATTTATGCTCTTAAAATGTTTTTAGCCAGCAGTGATACATATCTTCTCCTTGACTCAAACAGTAAATCAGACCGTGCTGAATGCCATATTTGAGTATTTGTTAAACTTTGAATAAATATTGCATTTCATAACCTTTATTGGAATATTGATGGACGCAGGAGTAAAGGTATCAGGAAGTGGAGCCTCTACAGTCAGGAGACCACCCACGGAGAGTGAGGACACAAGTTTGGTAACATCCACCTCAGCTGGAAGCCTTTAAATCACAAACTTTTGTTTAGATCATTAAAAAAACATGGCTGTTACTGAAACAAAAGCATAGTTTCTTTTTATTTAAGCATTTAAGAAACTGCTTATAAATAAAAAAGAAGGAACAATATTACTGTAGTCATAATTTAATTGAAAATATCTGCAGATTGATACCTGTATTTCCTTGTAAAACATCTGGAAATAAACCCAAGCTCGTCAGGCTTCTCCTCATGTTTCCCTGGGGAAAGATCAGCATTTGTAGGAAGTAACGTGAGGACACCAAAGAATCAAACGGCGCAGAAAACGCACTCAGCACAGAAATTAATTTCTACCACAGAGCTGTGGTTTTAATTTCCCCAAGCACGGTATCTAAGCAGCTTTCTAAATTTATAACACTTTGGGGTTTTTTCTAGATTTAAAGCTTTCACTCTGTGTGCTGTTGGGTTTTTAAGACTCTTTTCTATCCTCTAATGTTAATATAAAATAACATTGCTAATTCTTTATGAAGAGATAAAAATAAATCTTTTTATTCAGTAATTTAACACTTGTGTTTAACTTTTTGGGCGATTTAATTAACAGAATACCTCCAACTTCTAGGAATCCATCCTGGATACTGATGGAAATCTCAGAGGGGAAAAAGTGCGACACGTCCATGCTGACCCTCCACTTGGTAATCTTCTGACTGGAAGGGAGCATATCTTCTGAGATGTAGGGCACAAACAGAGGAGCTGGTATGCACCCCAGCCAGGACCAGGCTGCCAGACCCCTCTTGATCCAAGCAGAATCCCCAGTCTCCAGGAAAGGCGGCATGCCAAAATCTTGACTATAAACCCACTTTCTCAGTGGGTACGGAGGGTCACCCCTCTCCAATTCCCCACAGGGCTTTTCTTTAATTGCCTGTTCACTCATTTCTACAAAAAATAGCAATAAACTCCAACAAAGCCTGTCTTAAATGAATGAAAGCTAAATGAGCAGAGAGAGAAATCTACGTAGGGCTTTTATATAGACCTCCTGAGCAGGGTGTGCAGGTATAAAGTATTTGGCTTGGGAGTAAGCTGACCAGGAGAAGATAATTATTGATATTTATAACTTTTAAAGACATGATGGCAAATAGCAGGAAGCTCACTGTGGCTGGTGTGTGTTTGAACCACTGAATCTGTTTCCCGAAGAGCATACTTGTCACATCCCAGCGAATTCTGCTCTGCCAGCGATGACTGCGCTCCTCAGTCTGGTCATGAGCCAGTCATACAGCCTCTCCCCCAGCCCTCACCCTCCCTGTGTTTCACCCCTCAAAGGACACAGGGACAGCAGTTTGTGTGAAGCATAAAATACCTCAGCCAGAGGCAGAAAAGCAAAGAAAAGAACGGATTTCTGTTAGCTTCAGTGTCAGTAGCTCATGTGTTTTGAGTGCACAAAGCTACCTCCCCCCCATTTTTCTCTTGCTGTGCCGTTTCAACAGGATTATTATAGTTCCCTCTTTTATCAAGTGTGACAGACTTGTCAGTGATTCATTTTTGGAGCTGTGTGCCTTGATATCTTGGCATACTGTCCAATGGAGCACAAAACAGATGGAACAGATGTTTCTGACACTTTGTGCGATGCCTGACCCGAACACTGTGTCTGTGGGTTTAGCTTTTAGGGCTTAAATGGGGATTTGTCATCTGGATTTTTTTTTTTTTTTTTTTTTTTTAACCTTTATTTAAGATTTTTAGTTTTTAACAAAGTGCACCTTCATTTAAAGGTGATATAAAGAATTAGAGCTTGCAAAGCTATCACATCGTTAATTGGGCTTATTCCTGGTGTATTCAGCGTCTGACCTAAAAATAAAACTAAAAACAAAATCTCATGTTGGTAAAATATGTCCAAGTTAGCTTAATTCCTTCCTCTTTAGATATCTGCTGTTTGTATTATTTGACCAATTATGATTAGTAAAAAACCCAGATGAACTTAAGGTTCTGCCAGGTGTTGTTTTTAAATTACATTTCTTTCCTACATATAAAAGCCTTTTACAGCAACCAGATTCCTATCCTGAATCTAGGGAACATCATTAGAGTAAAGAAGCCTAGGCGGAAGTTCAACTGAAGAAACTACATTACTTACCCTCATCAATCAGGGGCTCATCTGCCTCTGACGCAAACCAATCAGCTTAGCAACTCCCTCTAAAAGGTCTTCAAATGCACGACTCAGCCTCTTACCCAGCCAAAGAAAAGCAGTGGTTGTGCTATGTCAGTTTTTTCTCAGATGACCCCGATTCAACCCACCTTCATCCCCTTCTCCACCATCGTAGCTAAGCTCCATCTGACTTTTTTCATGGTGCTTCTTCAACTTCGTCCCTATCAGAGTGTAATTCCTCCCAGACTTTTACTGCATTCCCCGTCAGATACGACTCAATCGGTCCGGCAGAAGACGGCCATGTTGAGCCTGGTTTTGCCAGAGGTTTCTTCCCAAAGGGGAGTTTTTTCTCTCCACTGTTGCTTCATGCTTGCTTATGGACAGGTTCATGCAAACCTATGTTTATCCAAGCTGGACTTCCATCTTCCCACGTCCCTTGTTAAGCACTAGTATCAGCTCACGAAGTCTACTGGATCTCACCAATACAGCTCAAGCAGATCGTCTCGCCACCCAGCAGTCCAGGACTGAACCATCTTCTTCTACCTCCACTCCCCCACCAGTTTCAGGTCTGGGGTGAAACATTCCTGTTCTCATACACCTGCTTATGCACATTAAATTAAAATTCAGCACTAATGTTTCCTGCCGAGGCCTGAGCGCCAACATTTTGAAATAATTGTATGAATAAAATTCTTTTAAGTGCCTTTTTCTTTCAGTGTAAGTTTTTCAGATTGAAATGAAGATTAGAGCAAAGAGGCTTTCAACATGAAAGATTAGGTGCCAGTTAAATATGAGTGAAAATATACTTAAAGTTTTGATTGCTGTCATACCTTTAAAGATTTTAACTCTGATCATATATGTAAATCCCTTTTATTGTCCCACAATAGGGATATTGACTCTCTGCATCAAACCCATCTTCTTGGGTACCAGTGGGCTGGCATGTGTAACACCCGGGGAGCAGAGTGGGGTTAAGGGTTTAGTTCAGGAACCCAGAGTGCAGGCTGTGAGGATTGAACTGGGCACTTGCAACCTTCTCAGAGCACACATGCACGGCTCTAACCACTAGGCAAACGTCCCGCACATGTGTGATTACATTTTCTTGTGGGACATTTTATAACATTTTAAATAAAACATTTATATTTTGTTATTTGTTATCCATGTTTCATCTCCTTTAGGGAATAAATGTCACTGTTAAATAAAAATAAGGTCAAATCTCCAGTAGGTAGGAATTATTTGGGGTTTAACGGTCCTAAAACTTCCTAAACCTTTAGTAGTTTCGTGTCAAATATCTTATCTGTATTTGTCTATGTACATTTTCACAGAAAGGATGTGGACTATTTTGGTGTAATAAATACACTTAAGAGGCACTGAGCAGTTTATCATATGTCCTCAGCTTTTTTTTTAATGACACTGGTAAAAACTTTATTTTTTTGCTCTAAAAGTATCTATCTTCTTCCAGCTATAAAATTAAGACTTTTTGACATCCATAGCAGCTAAGCTGTATTTCAAAAATTCAGCGTGAAAAGATAATGCTGCGGAAGCGGCTGATTGTCTGTTTAACTGAATCAGATAGCTAATGTACCCATTTGTATTCCAAATTTAGATTTTTACCATTATCCCTTATCTTCCCTCCTCCTATCTCTGCTGCTCTCTGCGCTTAGTGAAGTTTATTTTTAGATAAATGGAGCGAATGTTTGGGCCTATAGTGCTGTGAAGTACAAAAAAAAAATTTTTTTTTATTCTGGCTGCCAATACATATGAAGGTTACAGATGAAAATCAGCCACTGATTGCTTCTTCCCTCTTCTCCATTCTGCTTTTGATGTTAATTAGCGGCAAGAGTTCAAGTTGATGAAGCGCCAAAGTAGCTGTCTTTCTTCTATTGTGAAGGTTGAAATCTGAGTTTCATGTTAAAACCTTTAAAAGGTGAGTTTAGTTGCATGAATGAGAAAAGTGGTGCTCAAGAAATAAAATGAGTAGGTAGATTAATGAAAGAATTATCCTATATTTTTATTGATAGAAAAATGTAACTGGCTTATATATTTTCAGTTATGACACTCAAATAAAAAAGAATTATTTTATTAATTGTAATTTTCTACTACCTTTTCTATTTTGTGCTATTTATCCAATGTAAGGCCATAAATAAGAATATCCATTCATAACAAGTTTCAGGTGAAAAACATTAAGGGCTTAGGCAATCTGTATGAAATATTGCACCTACAGCTATTAGCTATAGCTGCTAACTTAGCATAATGCACTGTTACTTGTGTTAACTTTCACTATCAATATGCATAACACAAAGAAACTGGATTTTACTTAAATTCATATAATGAACTGAAAGTAAAAAAAAAATGAAATTTGATGTTAAATACAACCAAAGAAATGTTAATTATTTTCACGCCTATAAATTCCTTTAAATTTAGTTGAAATAGATTTTTCAAATCAAGGCATTTAATTTCAATTTACATGAAAGCAGATTCAGTTGGAGAAAATTGAGGTATAGTTTCTAAAGGCCCCGGTTTTTGCCCAAAGGTATATCTTTTACAAATTTTTGCTTTATTAAATGTTGCATTTAAGTTAGATCCTAATTTCTCTATTTTTGATAAAGAAAAATCTTTCTTAATTCCTAATACTGATTGGAAACATTTTTCAGTTTTCAGCTTCCCTTTGAAAAACTCATGAATAATACAGATTTGTTACAGTTTGGGGTTTTGCTTGAAGATGCATAAACGAGAGTGAGAGGCTTCAGAATGTATTCTCTCAGATTCACCACCCCCTGCAAACACATCATTAAAAAATCATTTTGATGTCTTGAATCGGGATTGACTTCAGAGATCCTCTGCAATTTATTTATCTCCTCTCAAATAAAAGCTTTAGTTTGGAATGATCTAAAAAGCTCTATTCCTTAGCCATACATTTTTATTTTTTCTGAGTCTTATCATCAAATTGAGCAGCTGCTAAATATCAGAGCTTTCATGGTCACTTTGGTTTTTTTTGTTGTGGTTTTTTTATCCCTCTTTGCTGATATTTTTATATCTCTTTATTTCTGTCACCTCTTTCATTTCATGACAGGGCTTCTATCTCTCAGTCGTCACTCTACCCCCACTTTCCACAGACTTCATGCATCCAAACCTGTCACTTCCTCTCTTTTAAAAGGTGAGAGTATTCTCCATGCTGAAGCAAACATAATATGTTCTATTTTTTTAATAACGGAGATAAAAAAAAAAAAAAAAAACATGTTTGGACTCCTAATCAAATAAAGGGAAACACTCTCAGGACTCAATATTTTTCAATGATTTTAGTTAAAGAGGATCTTTGAAGGTCCTCTGGGCAGAGTCACTTTCCCTAATCAGTAAAAGAGATTCTGTCTCTGATCCCCTAAAGCCTGCTCACACTAACCAAATGCATTTGAAGTTGGGCAGTGCCCTATGTGATATGATTACAGTCACATACATTCGTGGGAGGTCTCAGCAGAGGCCTGTTACACCGAATCAGGAGGTTTCAAACAAACTGCCACCGATCCATGGGTATTAGCTGATAATGCATCAAGGGGGGATGAAGTGTCAAATGGCTGGTTTGCTGCTGTGGACATTGCATTCATCATAGTTATTGTGAGGTTGGATCAGTTGCAGAAATTGGCTGTTTGGCCAGATGAAAAAAAAGAGAGGAGGTCATTATCGAACTGACACATTGACTAGAGCACATTATCTGTTGAAATATATATTTGTGAATCTTTTTTTTTTTTACTTGTTATTGCTCAAACAATAAAGTGTGACACGTTGATTTTACTTTTCAAATAAGCCTCTCAAAGAAATGTGTTCTTCTAAATTAGTTTAACTA